GAAAAAAAAAGTCCGCTCGTCACCTGCAGCTGAACCAGGGAGTAACGTCTCCACCATTATTAAAACCTGATACAGGTCCATTCTGAGCTCAGAAGCTGTTTGTTTATATTCATGACGAAAGTAAACCTTTTTTCTGTGTTTTTTTAAAGGGAAAGTTAACAACTGCACGTCAGTGCTTCTAATCTGAAAAAAAGCCTGGTGCATGTAAACACTCGTCATGATCGGATTGTGCCCATGTAAACAATACATTCAGATTATTTAATCCAAATACATTTCAATCTGATCAAAGAATTTTTCTCATGTAAACATAGCAAAAGATGTTGGTTGTTCACAGTCAGCTGTGTCTAAACTCTGGACCAAATACAACCAACATGGGAAGGTTGTTAAARGAAAACATATTGATAGACCAAGGAAGACATCAAAGCGTCAAGACAGAAAACTTCAAGCAATATGTCTCCAAAACAGAAAATGCACAACAAAACAAATGAGGAATGACTGGGAGGAAACTGGAGTCAACGTCTGTGACTGAACTGTAAGAAACTGCCTAAAGGAAATGGGATTTACATACAGAAAAGCTAAACAAAAGCCATCATTAACACCTAAACAGAAAAAAACAAGGTTACAATACAATGGGATAAGGAAAACAGTGGTGGACTGTGGATGACTGGATGAAAGTCAGATTCAGTCATGAGTCAAGAATCTGCATTGGACAAGGTGATGATGCTGGAACTTTTGTTTGGTGCCGTTCCAGTGGGATTTATGAAGAGGACTGCCTGAAGAAAACAACCAAATGTCCACAGTCCTTGATGATATGGGGCTGCATGTCAGGCAAAGGCACTGGGGAGATGACTGTGGTTCATTCTTCTATCAATGCACAAGTTTACATTGACATTTTGGACACATCAACTGAAAGGATGTTTGGGGATGATTAAATCATTTTACAAGATGACAATGCATCGTGCCATACAGCAAAAACTATGAAAACATTCCTTGAAAAAAGACGCATAAAGTCAATGTCATGGCCTGCAAATAGTCCAGATCTCAATCCAATTGAAAATCTTTGGTGGAAGTTGAAGAAAATGGTCCATGACGAGGCTCCAACCTGCAAAGCTGATCTGGCGACAACAATCCGAGAAAGTTGGAGCCAGATTGATGAAGAATACTGTTTGTCACTCATTAAGTCCATGCCTCAGAGACTGCAGCTGTTAGAAAAGCCAAAGCTGAAAAACTAGTGATGTGTTGGAGTGTTCTTTTGTTTCGTTTTTCATGATTCCATCATTTTTTTTCCCTCTGCTTGGCCAAAAACATTACTATTACTGACTTAAACTTTTTTTTCTTGATTTCTTTTAGTGTTTATATACTCCGAGGCCGGTGATTCCATCATTTTTGCAAGGGGTTGTATTTTAGTCAAATCTCTAACCCCATCAGGGAGAAAGTGTCGAGTCATGTTTTCCTCAACACCTACACAGTTTATCTAGAAAAAAGGGAAGTCACTGTTTTTATCAGCAGAAAATAAACAGGTTAGAGTTCCTCTATAACTTACAGAACTGAACTGATTAAACACTTTTCAAAGAAGATCAGGGTGGTTCAAACAGAAATAAATATCATCCTTTATAGTATCAGCAGGACAAAGCCATGCCTTCATTTCACACAAGAGCTTTTTGCTCAACATTAAAACACCTCTGGCTGATTCAATGGAGACAGCGTCTTCATGCAGAAGAAGAAAATAACTTCATATTAGCATCCTGATGTAAACAAACCATTTAAATATAACTGTTCCATTTTATTTGTAGTCTTGTGTTTTCTCCTTAAAGATTGCCTTTGAAGTCATTTCAACAGCTGTCATGCTCCATGCTGAAAACTACAGGGATGTAATAATATATATTCACTTTATTAGCTACATTTGTATAATTGTTTGTTAAACAGCTGGTCAGCCAATCACAGGGCAGCAGCTCAGTGCCTCCCATT